TTGCTATTGCTATTGCTATTGAGTAGACCTGCAGGCAGATAACCAACTCTTAATTCCTTGTTAAAATTGCACTATTTCTTCATTTGTTTAATCTTGTTATACTCTGCCTTTCCATCCTTGCTTCTCATTGTGTAATAGCTAAGAAAGAAAACCATAAGGAGTACAGGATTAGAAATATAACCTGAGTCTCAACATACAGCTCTTTGGCTTTGTGTCCTAACTTTGTGGTGATTTTTGTTTTCTTAATTGCAAAGGAAAATAGCAAAAGAGTTTGTGTGTCCTAGCATCACAAACCATGCCAGAAATGTATGGATATGAAAATAACAAAAGTCAGATTTCTTTTCTACAATGTGAAATCAGGACATGGGGACTTGTAATAGGAATGAGAAAACATTATTCAGTCAAAGGTGCCTTTATGACACTGAATCTTCCCCATAATCTCATATAAATGTGCATCATATGGAAAGAGCTTCAAAGGGAGGGTTTCCTTTTTATCAAAGGAGCCACGGTGAGAAAGCCTATAAATGTACACAAAGACTTTTCTATGAAAGTGCTAACAGCCTGCTTTGCTGTTAAGTGACATGGGATTGGCAAAAGCTAAAATGGATTGTATCACATATACCTTTAACATGAAATTAAATACAGTTGACAGTTTTTTCCATTATGGTCATTGGTTTTTGGGCACACTGAAAATTACAAACATGAGATTATTTTTGGTGGGTCCACACTTGAGGGTTTTATCTCACATCAGATTGAAATCATTTACTCAAAAGATGGCTTAACAGTACTGTAGTTCCTAGTGTTTGAATCTGCTTCTAGCTTTTTCTATATATGGAGCAGATAACTCAAGTATTTGTTAAGAAACAGTTCTCATAGTGAAGATGGATATCGAGCCAAGCATCCAACAGGAACCTAGATGTGTCATAAATACAGATGTGATAATATTACATGAGAAGTAGCATATATAGAAAATTGTGACAGAAATGAGAATACTGTAGACACAAGGACAATGCTGGTATTGTTATCCAGCCTTATTCAAAGTAAATTGATTATGTGTTGTCAATGAGGACCCATATTGTGGGGGCAATATGCCAACTCTGTAAACCGCTTAGAGAGGGCTGAAAGTCCTATGAAGCAGTATATAAGTCTAACTGCTATTGCTATTGCTAAATTGGTTAAACTCTGCAACCACACATAGATTTTCTGACAGGAGGGCTGTATTAAATCTTTGCAACCACAGAAGACAAATGTTATGATGGAGGACTTCTTCCTAACTTGAGCAGTCACTAGACAAACTGTTGTAAGTCAAGGACTACCTGTACTTAACTGATTTTGTTTGGTGAAACTATTTTTTTAATCCCCTGTTCAATATTTTCTTTCCTTCAATTTACAATGCCACTTTTTCTCCAGTCACAGATGAGGTGCCATGTTCCCCTCTCTTCATTTCTCTACCAAGGAGCCTTGTTGTGAGGTAAAATTTCTGGAACATCCAGATGTTTCAGCTTTTCACCAATTTAGAAACTGGTTTTCTTTTTATACTTGTTTTTCTTCAGCATTATTTCTTTTGTCACAAGAAGCCACTCTGTCTTTCCAATTATTCTTGGGCACCCAGAGAGAAAGAATTTGAGAAGGCCAGCTGTACACATTGAATTAAAGATACATAAAAAACAAAAGAAATCTGTTTCCCACAAAGACTCTTGGGTCCTCGTCTTCTGACCGGCCAGCTGTTTCAAGGTGGCTGTTCTTTGAGGGAAGCCAGTTAAAATCCGCCAGAGATTTTTCTCCCTCTCCACAGATAGTTCCTGGGCAGAAAGGAGAGGAAGATAGGAAGATAGAGAAGCTGCCCCTTCTGGAGACGACAAAGCCTTTCTCGGACAGGGGACGTTCCCCTCCTACTCCCATGCCCATCATCCCTGCCCTCCCCTTCCCCTCAGAAAGGCTCTCCTTTCTCCCGCCGTTTCGGAGAATTCACCAGAGGGCGCGCCCAGCTTCAGGAGGGAACTGAGCATGCGCCAGACTTCCGCTAGTACACGTGTTGCCTGGGGAGTTTTTAGGAAGGGGCTTCTCTTTCCGTTCCCTCCCCTCCCTCCTTTGTGAATGGGAGGCGGGGCTTTGCGGGAGGCCCAGAGGCTGCCGGGAAACCTTTTGGGGCGAAGGTGGGGTGCGGATTCCGACGAGACTCCCGAGTTCCGTGAATGGTGACTCAGACCGTGTACAAGGGTCCCGCGCTGGAAGGGTGCGTGGAGACGGGCCAAGTCTTCCTCCGGGGTCGGAGTCAGAGGTCCCATGTTCCCCTGCCACTTTTTCCCACGCATGAGCTAGGCCGGAGGGGGGAAAGCAAAGGAGAGAAATGGGGTCGTCAGAAGACAGGAGCCATTTCTCCCCATTTATTGGAGGAGTGGAGGCAGCCTCGAAGTCCTGTTGGCTCTGGGACTGGGTGCAAGGACGGGTGTGCGAGGACTGGAACTGGGATGCTGCTTTCCAGCTTTTCCATACGACCGCAAAAGGGGCTCTTCCCGCAGAAAAGAAGGTTGCAGGGACGGAGATGCAAGTGGGGCTGAGATGCAGCATTCGCACCGTGTGCCTGATGACACCAGTGTTTGTCAAAAGTTGGCAACTGTACACTTGTCGAAGTTGGAAAAAGACTGGATTAGGCTAAAAAGTGGGGACTTTTCAGTTTCTAGGAATTGCATGAAAACGAATCATCATGTTAAGTTATGGCTGGTTTATTTATTTGAGTTTTAGCCCTATATATGTATTGGATGGTGGTTTGCTAATTTAGGCTTCTGAAGTTTCCCAGGGGTATTTCTGATTAGTGGGGTTCTGCTGTTTTCTGCTAGTATGCTCAGATGTTGATTTAATTATTTATTAAATCGATCTATATAGCACTCGTTTTAATTTCTCTTTCTGACCTGAGACATTTGTGAGATGGATTGTTATAAGAGTTTCTCTTATCTCTATTCACAGCCACAACAAAAACCTCAGAAATAGAAATCCACAACACATTTTATCTATTTCTCCAGTATTTTAAATCATTGCAAAAAGTTGATCCAGAAATATTCTACTTAATTTCCACCAGATACATCAACCTACCTAATAAGATTCTCCCTTTCCAAATGTTGTTGTTGTCAGTTGCAAAGTCGTGTCTGACACATCGCAACCCCATGGACAATGTTCCTCCAGGCCCTCCTGTGGTCGACCATTTTCCAAACATTAGTAGGTTCATTTGACATCTTTTAAAGTTTATTTTGGAGAAGAATCCTCAGTAGTTAAATTAGTCACCCTGTAATTACTGGAAATTTATGTTGTTTTCCATTTCAGATATGTGAAGTGGAAATCTTTCCTGCTCCATCTGAAAATGAAAGCATCTTGTAAGTGTGGAGCGCTGAATGTCCTTGAGAAACCTGACCAGCATCTGTTCGTGAAATTCAGGTCTTGTGAATAGGAAGACCTCTGGAGATCCATTAACCCATTTTGCAACTGGATTAGGGGAAAAAAGAGAAGATGGAGGGACAACACTTGGCAGATGCAGGAACTGGAAAAAGCCCTCTTGCTCCTCAGCCTTGGAGTTATGGGAAGAATTGGTCAAGTCTTAGGCAGAAAATGCAGGAAGTGGGAACTAACACTTTAGAGATCCAGTGCTGTCATTTCAGAAAAGTACAGTTCCAGAAGGTGACTGGGCCCCGAGATGTTTGCAGTCACCTTCACCGCCTTTGTCTTCAGTGGTTGCAGCCAGAAAGACACACAAAGGCTCAGATGCTGGACCTGGTGCTCCTGGAGCAGTTCCTGGCTGTCCTTCCCCCAGAGATGGAGAAATGGGTGCGGGAGTGTGGAGTGGAGACGAGTTCCCAGGCGGTGGCCCTGGCTGAAGGGTTCCTGCTGAGCCAGGAGGAGGAAAAGATGCAAGAAGAGTTCCAGGTGTGAGAATATAGTCATGGCAAGTTTAGAGTTGTTCCATTTTTCTTTTAGAGAATGTATGTATGTGGGGGAATTCTTCCATTCTCATTTTCCAGCTTCTGTGATGAACATTGGGGTCTGCTACGTTGGGGGTGCAGTATGGGAATTCATTCCTTTCCCTCTGCTCTTCCTTGTTTCTCCTGTGAAATGTCCAGATAACCTTGGAAGCAGTCACTGAATATGCCACGGGATGGAAAGAATCGTCCAAACTCTCTGAAGAAGTGCTTAAGGAGATCTTCCAGAAAAATGAAAATCAGGATACCATGTCAGGTAATAGAAGACCCTTCTAAGTGACACGAGGATTGGACATCCAGCTAACTGATTGTTTTGCCCCTCTTGGGTGGAATCTCTATTTTTTTAAAAATCAAATCTGCTTTCACACTTTTTCTTCCTCTCCCAGAGAACCAAAACCAGTCTTTGGTATTTTTAGAATCAACTCCCCTTCATGATGTAGCTGCAAGAGCGACGGAACCTCTGTCTCAGGTAGGAGAAACTTAGGGGGGAAAAAATCCATGAATCTTGGATGGGTTTCATTTTGTTCTGAAGTTCAAAGTAATATATATA